GTCATCGGAGCATCGATGCTATACGCAATTTCCAATGTTAGCGAGGTATGGTGCTGCTAAAATTTCTCTTTCACATGAACTCTCATCTGAATCCCTTTTATGATTTTCCTCAGGAATTTATAGTGAAGAAGATTAATCGGTTGAGCTGCTTGCTTTTCTCGGCTTGTTGGATCGATAATAAAGCGCGTTTTCAGTGTAGTAGCCTTTTGGATAATAGGATCGAACAGTGTTTTCTAAAAGACTTTTGTTTCAGGCTCGCTCTTGAACTGCATGAAATTCGTCACACTCAATGGACTGCAAATGCCGTAGGAACTCAAACCTCTTGCCTCTTTAATATTCCCGTGTTTCTCGCTAAGCTTTCCATTTTTGCAGATTGGTCCTTTTGTGGGATTTGCACTGGCCCAGTTTTCGTTTTACCTTCTCGTTCCAATTCTACTTCAGGTAAAGCGCAGATACATGTGTGCGTCCTCTTAAGCTTTCTTACACACTTTGGACACAGGGCAGTGGCTCGGCAATGTTTAACTTGTCTCTTCTCACGTCCGATATGTGGGCCGTCGCGATCCGTGCATTGGCCTACCATGAAGTCGTAAGTATTTTTACCAAGTTTGTCGTGATTTCTATCGTTTTCTTTTCAGGTGGATTGGCTCTACTTTGTGGCGTTTGGAACAGTGGCAATAGGACTGTCTTTGTATTCTTACTTGTAAGTTTCGTGGCACCTCTTTTTTTTCTCGCTAACTCCACCTCCTTTTGTTATAGTGGTGAGCCCAGACCAAAGAAACAACAAGCAGCTGCAGAACTGGACGAGCCAGGACTCGAAGAAATCGTCGCGGAACATCCTGTGAAAGAAGATAGCGGTACACATTCTAAAAGCACTAACAAGGAAGAAAAGCAGCAGTTTTTTCCCGACAAACGGGATAACAACGACGATGCACAGATTGAGCTTTGATGCTGGAAAAACTATATGTATACTTCTATCACTAATTGTTTGCTTTCTTCGTGAAGAAAGCACTGTTTCTCGGACTCGCCGTCGTCCACTTTAGGATTGTGAGTCGCTAACGATAACTCCAACTAATGCAGGGGGTTTTAAGCCAGGGAGAGATCTTCCAAGGTTCATCTCGAAGAGGAGCGTTTACTCATGGGTAAGGGAGGTAAGCTGCTAACAGAGATTTTATATTTGATTTGATCTCTCGTGATTCATGGCAGGCAAGAAAGATCACGGGTTCCTTAAAGGAATGTAAGTTGTTCTTGGTTCGATGTAAAATCTTTGGTTCTAAAACTTTGTTATTTGTGATTCGCAGCTTAGCAGCAATGTGTTGCTGCTGCTTGCTTGATGAATGCTGCTGTGATCCCACTGTGATCATTGTAGGCGATTAAACGCGCCAGTTTCTTTTCTTTAAAAAAAAAAAAATTAAAAATTTCTAATGTCCACGTACACGCGGCTTTGGCGGTGGCGAGAATCCTTGACGAGGAAAGATCTATCAGCGCAACTGATGCCGATGAGCAGCCCTCTCCACTCGAGCAGATTCCGGTATCGTATTCAATGCTCGAGAGCGAAATTCATATAGATAGAGGTGAATTCGCAGCTACTGTCGAAGCCTGCTTGAAATTCTTCTGGTTCTCTCCGAGTTTGTCTTTCAGTCTATTTTCTCGTAGCAGTCTGTCTGTTTTTTCAACCATGATCGCAGCAATATAATTAATTAATAATTGATCATTGTCATTGCATAAATTTATTATGGCAAACATCGCTACTTCTCAGCAATATAATTTAACTTCTTCTAAGCATACATGAGCAATTTTTTATGGGAGCCCAATGTACTCTTCCCCTAGCAAGGCCCACAGTTGACTGCAATTCACCAAATTATTTTAAAAGAAAAGATTAAGAGCTTAGGACAAAATTCAGGCTTTTTATATCGCTCCTCTCAACTCCTTTGCCATGCATATGTTTTCTTTCTCCCCTTCTCCTTTATAGTCTGTCATCCCTTGTAATCTTCTCAAATCTCTTCAACCTCCCTCAAGCACAAGCCCTCTTGCTATTTTCCCTACATTAATTCCCACAAGGAAATAATATTATCTCAAGATTCCCCTTTCTAATCCTCTTTAGAAGCTTTCTTATTTTCTTCCTAAATTACAAAAATATTTCATTCCCTCAACTTTGTCACCTTTTCTAATCTGAATAATTCAATGTTTCCAAAAGTTGCTATCAAATGACTTTGAGATGGAAATCCTTTGATGATGCTAGCAAGTAATATATTCAAAACTTTGGTGGTTGAAACATTAAACATCACAACTATATAATTTTCTTAAGAGACCAAGGCAATATATTCAACTTAGGTTGTTGAAACATCACTGCAATGTAACAAACAAGACAATGATAATATTAATTAGAGGCCAAAGTAAGGGAAAAGTGAACATTTACTTGCTTGCAGGTGACCTTGCAAGGTAAGTTTCCTTCAGGTGACATGCGAGTCAAGGTTGCGATTATCACCCAGGATGAACACACATCCGGGAAACTTCCAGCCTCTCCAAGAAGGAAATCACAACACTGTAATGTTTGAAAAAGAAGAAAAATCCCGGATCTGAGTATAGTGATTGCTCCAAAGGCAAGTACTAGAATATTATAAGAAGTCCCTGTCAACGAGGCAGACGATTTCATGCGCTACGGCGCAGTGATAAGTTATGGGTGACCGCTGGCTTCTCGAATCAATGGGCGACCGGGAGCAGCAGCAGCAGCACGACGATGATCATCTGCAGCAGCGAGTGATCCTGGAATGGCTGGTTTCGTCTCCAAAATGGAGGGCGCTCGCAGCCCTGGGCCTGGGACAGGTCCTGTCGCTGCTCCTCACTGCCACGGGATTCACATCCTCGTTCCTGGCTCGCGAAGGTAGGACCTGGTAGGCTTATATGAACCTCTAGCTTGATTCTCTTGTCAAAAGGGGTAAATGCGCCCACTGCCCAGGCTTTTTTCAATTACGCGCTGCTGGCCATCGTTTGCGGATCGATTGTTCTTATCAAGAGGCCAAAGATCAAGGTCAGCGCCTGAAAATCATTTTAATCTTCCCTCTATTCGTGCTTGTTCTTGTTCATGAGTTGATTATACTTTCTTCTCTTTGTGTGTGTGTGTGTGTGTGTGTGTGTGTGTGTAGTTTCAGCTTCTTTTTGTCTAGCTTGTTACATCGATGTAGTGATTGTCAACAGGTACCTTGGTATGGTTTCCTGCTACTCGCCATTGTGGATGTGGAAGGAAATTATCTCCGTAAGTTTCACCTTGCGATTCTTCATTTTTTCTTTGGTCACATCGACTCTGGCCGCTTTCTTTCTTCAGTTGTCAAGGCCAACCAATACACTTCGATCACAAGCGTGATGCTGCTTGACTGCTGGAGCACTCCCTGCGTCCTCCTTTTGACGTGGTTGTTTCTCAACACACGGTACCGCCTCGGGCATTTTTTTGGAGTCGGGATCTGCGTGACGGGGCTCGTGCTGGTGGTTCTCTCCGATGTTCACGCCAAAGATCGATCCGGTCTGTCCACCTCAAAAGAGAAGAGACGAGTGTGTGTTTCACTCGTTGAGTTGACGTGCCTCCGTACTTACAGCAACCAAGCATCGCTAACTTCGGTTTTGGTTTTATCTTCTCAGGTGGTAGTAATGTCGTCCTTGGAGACATTATCGTCATCGGAGCATCGATGCTGTACGCAATTGGCAATGTCACCCAGGTATGCGTGCTGCCAACTTTTTTCTTTCACGTCTGAATCCCTTTTTCGATTTTCCTCAGGAATTTATAGTGAAGAAAACAAGTCCGGTTGAGCTGCTTGCCTTCCTCGGCTTGTTTGGATCGCTTATAAACGGCATTCAAGTGTAAGTAGTCTTTGGATTATAGATTCGAACAGCGTTTTTCAATGACTTTTGTTCCAGACTTGCTCTTGAACTGCATGAACTTCGTCACATTCAATGGACTGCAAATGCCGTAGGAACACACTCTCGCGTGTTTTCGCTAAGATTTTCATTTCTGCAGATTGGACCTTTTGTGGGATTTGCACTGGCACAGTTTTCTTTCTACATTCTCGCTCCAATTCTACTTCAGGTATACATCTATGCATCCTCTAAAGCTTTTATACACACTCTGGACACAGGGCAGTGGCTCGGCAATGTTTACCTTGTCTCTTCTCACGTCCGATATGTGGGCCGTCGCGATACGTGCATTGGCGTACCATGAAGACGTAAGTATTTACCAAAGCTTGTATTTTATCGTGATTTCTATCGTTTTCTTTTCAGGTGGATTGGCTCTACTTTGTGGCGTTTGGAACAGTGGCCATAGGACTGTCTTTGTATTCATGCTTGTAAGTTTCGTGGTACCTCCTTTTTTCGCTAACTCCTGTTCCTTTTGTTTTAGTGGCGAGCCTAGACCAGAGAAAGAAGCAGAAGATACAGAACTGGACGAGCCAATGCTCGAAGAAATCCTCGCGGAAGATCCCGTGACAGAAGATTGCGAAACGAATTCCGGATCCAAAAACACTAACAAGGAGGAAAACCAGCAGTTTTTTCCCGACAAACGGGGACGACGATGACGAAAGAGATTGATCGAAAAACCAATCCAGCCTACATATTCTATATATCACTAATTTTGTTTGCTTTCTTTGTGAAGAAAAGCTCGCTGTAAATTCTCGGACTCGCCGTCCTCCACTAGAATTGTGAGTCGGGAACGGTAACTCCAACTAAGACAGGGGGTTTTTAAGCGAGGGATATTATCATGGGTAAAGGGAGGTAAGTTGCTAGCGATTTGCGAAGTGATTTTAGATTTGTTCCATGAGGCAAGAAATATCACCAAAGGTCTTGAAACTAAAACCTTTGCTTCTAAAACCTGGTTATTTATGATTCGCAGCTTAGCGGCGATGTGACGAATTCTGTTGTGATCCCACTGTGATCATTGTAGGCGATTAAAACGCGCCACTTTCTTAATTAAAAATTCATCAAAATGTCCACGTACACGTAGTTGACGTTTGCATCCGACGGTTGATACTTAGCCTCGTGGCTTGTATTTGTTCGTCCGATCCCAGTGAGGCCCTGAGGGCTAGGGTTGATCCAAGATGCGCTGATTCTTGAATTGGGCATCGCGATCGGGCGGCGCCGGGTAGAATGCGGGAGCTGCCGCCGGTGGCGAGAACCCTTGATGAGCGTAGCTGATGCCGATGAGCAGCCCTCTCCACTCGCGCAGCAGATCGAATTTGCTTGATCCCGGTATGTTATTCAATGCTCGAGAACGACAGCTCTTAAATTTTTATGCTTCCCAGATAGAGGAGGAGCTCCAGAAGCCATGAATTTGCTTGAAGATTCTCCGCCAGCGACTGTGGAGCCCCTAAAATTGAAGCCTGCAAATTCTTCTTCTGGTTATCTCCGAGGTTGGCTTCCTCGCTCGCCAATCTATTTTCTCATCGCATGGGCGATCGTGTGTGTAAAGGTATTCTTTCGCATTTGGTTCGATATGTGTTTTTCTAGCTCGGTGCTATCTAGATCGCCAAAGATTCCATCGAGAAAATGGATACAACACTGAGGGGTAGTTTCTTCTACGAAGCATTTTTGTACTACAATCCATTAGTTATGGTGGTATGTCTCAACTATTGTTCTATTGCTCATTCTCGAGATGCAAACAAGCTTTTTGGTTGTCTTTGCAGGCTATGATGGTGTGGTTGTGGGGAGTAAATCTCTGGGCATTTCTACATTATCGTGTGAACTATAGCAAGATCTTTGATCTTGATCAGAACCATTTAACGCACAAACATATATGGAAGGTAGTGGTGTTCTTTCTTATTTTTCCTCCTCTTAATTCTCGTCAGTGCAGGTTGCCTCTTGGATGACCATTGTCATCTCGACCAGCATGACAACTTATCTGTATCTTTATTCCAACGGGGAAGCGAACTACGCTGCATCGCAGCCAGTGTATAATCCACACTTTTCCCCACTCTTGCTGCTTGTTGATGATGGTGTGCTTTGCTGAAATGATTCTATTCATTGTTTGCTATTGCTTCCTTTTTCCCTCTAACAGCTTCGTTTCTCACAGGCCATTCTTTACATCGGCCTGCCGCTCGTGTTAATTCTACCTTTTGATGTCCTTTATCGTTCATCGCGATTCTTCTTTCTTGGTACGTTATTGAGACTTTCGCTACCGCTGCAGGTTCGTTGAAAATCTAACTCGCTGTGCCTGAACTAATGGTTTTGTTACGCCAGCCTATCACCTTTGCAGATTTTTTTGTAGCAGACGTGCTTACCTCTATGTCCAAGGTTCGCCCGCCGCGAGTAGAGTAACAAAGAAATGGATTTGAGATGTTTCTTTTGCAGGTGCTATCGGATATTGAGCGGTCGCTGTGCAGGATGTATCATCGTCAGGTATGCCGTGTTGCTTTCTCCTGTTTCTTGTGTAACGCTCTTTTATCAGGCTGCTTTTGAGGCAGAGGAGTTATGCGGGAGTCACTCCATATGGATACCTTGCATTCTTGCGCTTCCTTACTTGTTCCGATTCGCGCAGTGTCTGAGGCAGTATACGGACACGAAAGAGCGATCTTGTCTTTTCAACGGTATGTCCTGACCGTTTCTCTTCTTTTCTTGTGATTGATCTCGTGTAAATCCCTCGCAGCTTTGAAGTATTCGACAGCCTTCCCCGTGGTTTTCCTGTCCGCGCTCAAGTATCACGTACTTCCCGAGTACTGGGAAGGTGTCTATCGCCCACTCTGGTTACTTTCTAGCGTGGTTAATTCTTTCTACTCGTTCTACTGGGATATCAGCCGAGACTGGGACTTCAGGTAACTTTCCAATTCTCTCCGTCCTCTCTCTCACAGTTTTCGTCGCAGCCTCTTCTCCGGTATCTCCAGGACCAAAAACGTGGGACTCAGGGCTCACCTCGTCTACAATCCTCGATGGGTGAGTGAGTGAAGCATTAACCCGAGTGTCTCTAAACACAACCGGTGACTTCCCTACTAGGTGTACTACTGGGCGATTGGAAGCAACTTACTCCTTCGCTGTGCCTGGACTTACAAGCTCTCGGCGCACCTTCGCCACAACTACTTGACGGTGTTCACATTCTCGGGGCTGGAGATGCTGCGGCGGTTCCAGTGGATTTTTTTCCGGGTGGAGAACGAGCACAACCGGCTGCTGTTACGTACTTCCTCGTCGCCAGAGACCGAAATGGGCCTTTTAGCCACCGACGACGAAGAACACGTTGTTTAAAGGGCCTGTGTTAATGAATTCTTTTTGGTTTAAACTTGTATACCCTAGGCGGTGTCTTAGCGAGGGTGGGGAATAGCGAGGGCGGGGAATGGCGTCTTCCAAGAACATGGATGCGCTCAATGCGAGGAAGCAACTGCCGAATGTATGGCAGGCGCCGCTGATGAGCACTCCAGCCAGAGATCCGCTGTGTAAGCTCCTAGAATCAGCTCGTTGTGTGTGTGGCATTGCTAGATCTCGAGATTTCTTCGAGAATTCAGCCTTCTCGACTAGGCTAGGGATTTACTCTTGAGATCCAGTGGACTGACTCGTTTGATCACCTCGCGCAGTTTGTTTCTACAGCATCTTCTGGTAAGGATCCATGTCGCGAAAATATTTCGCTTCCTCTTTGTTTGACTGTGTGTGATTCGTTTTGCAGCCCCTTTTGTGCCGCGTACCAGCTGCGTGGAAGATCTTTGCACAATGACTGGTCACGGTTAGTGTTTTTTCCCCTTCTTCTTCTTCTCCTCTTCCGCTGGGAGAAAACTTTGACGCTTTGATGGTTCTGTAGCTATCAATGTTGCGGTGGAGGCCTGCCATGCAGCGGCCGTTGTGGAGAGCCCAAATGTCCTCGCTTCTGTGCTGCCACTGAAGTAAGTCTTTTAGAAGTTTCATGATCTTAAAAACTTTCCAATGTTTTTGTCCTTTTTTTCCAGGCCGTGCTTTGCTTTCCAATGTCTGTCACTGCAACAAGGTTTATGATACAGGACTCCTTGGGGATCCAAAACACAAAGTGTGACAACTGCATCATTGTAAGTTTTCCAGTGTCAAAAGATTTCAACACTTGACACCATCAAATCTCTACTTCTAGGCGACGATGTGGTTTCTCCAGTACCTCAACTGTATCTGCTGGCTGGTTGCAACTTTTACTAATGTGCCATTCATTGACGACGCAGCTCTCGTTGTCGACAGAGTTGCGGATATTGCCTACTGCAGGTAAAGATTTGTCACACTTGTCGCTCTGTCATCCAGGACTGACGATATCGTGCTCCTCAACTTTTGTTACTTTGTTTTTTCTCGCAGTGTGTGCGCGTGCATGCAGGTGAGTCACTCCAAAGAAAAATTCCTTCCGACATCATCACTGAGCTAAGCTTTTGTGTTTTATATTGCAGACACAGCATAAAGTGGAGCTTGATGTTCGCGATGGATTAAAGCCCGCCGTATCGCGCACGCCTCCAGCAATGCAGGAGATGTCGCGAAAATAGCTAGTAACCGGCTGCTGGTATTCTCTCTCTTTCGGTTTCGTACTAGCTAGTTTCCTTTCATTGTACTCATGATTCATTGAAATGCTTTTTCCACAGCACACGTTTCTCGCAAACCAAGACAGGTACCGAAAACTCGGGCTTCATCTTTTCACGAGAAGCTCGCGAGCGAGAAACGAAGAAAAATCGAGAGGTAAGTGTCAGGTCCTTGCTGTGATCGATCGAGATCTAAAAACCGACTGGAAGAACTCTCCAGAGATTTTTTTGCTAACAGATTCCATTCAAGTGAGTCCGTGCAGTGGTTCGAAGAAACCGACGCATCGTCCAACGGGGAAGAGAAAGTAAACGAAGCATCGCTTTCTTTCTTTTCTTTGGAAGATCCTCCATTACGGTACATTTGTGAGATGGAATTTTGGTTAAGATATGGTGGCAGTGGTGGTGGTGTCTCTCTTTTGCAGGGAAAGCGTGGGGTAATGGTGGATCCCAGGACTCGAACGCCACACCCGCCCTGGACGATAGCGCAGTATCACTGGCTAGGAAGCTAAGAGTGGGGCTCTCAATTCGTAGGATCGATCTCTTTTCTTTTTCACCTCCTCGTTCTTTCATTTTCTAGTGCGACGAGGAAGAACAGCAATGAAGAAGCACCAGTTTGGGAGCGCTCCCAGCAGCTACTGCAGCAATTTGGTGGTGATGCTCTTCGCGCTGATCGTGGCCTTCACGCTCGGATTTCTAGCGTCTCCAATTGTGAGAACTTCTCCTAGCTCGCCTCCTCCTCTCCAATCTTCATCATTCCCTTCCTCGTCGCCCTCTTCGTCTTCTTCCTCCGCTGCATTGACCGCGTGCTCGTCTTCATCGCCGTCGATCCAAGAGAAGAAGGAAGCGAATCTGGGCGACAACGTGGCGAATATCCAGCCTCAATCCGACGATGGATTCGTGAGCCACGTCAGATCGCTGCCGGACGACCTCCTCCGCTTCCACTACGACTGCCAGGCGGCGCCGTCGCGGGGCCGAGACGCCGCCTCCGCCCGCGCGGCCGTCATTGACGAGGTGTTTGACGGCACGTCGCCCTTCACGGCCTTCCCGCCCCCCCACATTGCCCGCCTCCTCAAGCCCCACAAGATCAAAGGCTGGGGCTCAGATCACCCCGTATTTGCGCGCCTCGTCCAGGAAATCCGCCCCAAAATCGTGGTGGAGCTCGGATCCTTCCTGGGCGCGTCGGCGATCCACCTCGCCAAGCTCATCCGCGAGCAGCAGCAAGGCGGCAGTGATTTCGTGATCTTCTGCCTGGATGATTTCCGGGGCTGGCCAGGGTTTCGCAAGGTCTTCACGGACATCCGGCAGGAGCACGGCAATGTGATGCTCTTCAACCAGTTCTTGCAAAATGTGGCCTTCTCCAACGCTAGCAATAACATTGTGCCGGTGCCATTCTCCACCAACACGGGGCTCTACAAGCTGTGCGAGCTGGGCATCTCGGCGGATCTGATCGAGGTGGACGCCGGGCACGATTTTCACTCGGCGTGGACGGACATCAATCTCGCGTGGTCGCTCATGCGGCCCGACGGCAAATCCATCATGTTTGGGCACGATTACTTCAATGGAGCCGACTACCACGGCGTGCGCAGGGCGGTGGATCTCTTTGCACGTCTCAAGGGGCTGCGGGTGGAGCCGGATGGGCAGCACTGGATCTACAGGAAGATTGATGGGAAGAAGCCCAAGGGGAAGAAGAAGAACAGGGGAAAGGAGGAATTGCCCCTTTGAAAAGTAGGAATATACTTGCTTGTTTCTTATGTAAAACTATTAGATTAAATAATTATATCTTATAAACTTACTTACACTTCATTATAAATATTTATTTTATCTAACTTTGATTATGTTCTTAGTAAACTCAAAAGCACATAACTAAGTCTAGGTGTTATGCTTCCCAATTTCTCCCCTTCAAGGATATTTTAATTACATATCCTCAAAAAATTTCAATTGATAAAAATATTAAAATAGAAATAGGAATTATTTTAAAATATTAAATATGGAATTAAAATAAAATATAATTTATATTTTTATTAAGATTTTAAGAGCTTGTTAGGAGATGACAAAATTAATAATAAAATATTAAAATAATAGAGAAGAAAATATGAATTTGTGTTAAACATTTTTGCTCTCGAAACTAATTTAATCAAACCCTCAATTAATCCAAATTAGGTAGTAGTAGTAGTGATAGCAAATATATAAGTAACACTCTAAACTGGTAAAAAATATAGAGAGATGGCAAATACATAAATAATTAATGTGATGTTAAGTGGATATTGTTATTGAAAATTTACAACTAACTAAAAAATATAAGCATGATGAAATAAATGTCTCAAAATACAATCACTAAAGGAATACCCAAGTTAATTTATCAAATAATAAGACATACTTAATTGTATGACAATGAGATGTAATTATATGTTGTCCACATATGTTATAACACCTTAGCAATAAAGCATTTTAATGTCTCAAAAACATTGATATTAATTAAATAATAGTTTTGATGACTCTATATATGTAAGTATATTAAAATCTTTATTCATACTTATGATATGCATTGACAAACTAAAATGTTATGACATAACTTCTTTAACCCTTTTCTCTTGCTCCAGGACTTAGTAAATTTAATTTTATAAATTTCACCTTTTTAAATATTTGATAGTTTGTGATATTAGTACTTTAAATTAACCTCAAAGTTCTACTCATTAATAATAGTAGTGAAGACTCTAGAAAATCAAAAAAAATTTAAATAATTTTTTTTTTATATAGTGAGTTGTATTAAAAGAATAGTGATTTTAGAGAAGCCTTAAATGAACTATTTATAAAAATTTGTAAATTAAAGAAAATATTAAACAGTGTTACCACAAAACTAGTGAAATTTTTTGCATAATCCATAATAGTGTTATATAAGGAAGCAATACAACCCAAAACCTCCATTAAATATTATTTTAAATAAAAAAAACTTTAAATTCAAGAACTTACTGTAGTAGGTTTTGCATTTGTGCTCTTTTTTATCTTTTTAAAATTTTTTTTTGCTCTCTTATGTTGCTTTTTTGTTTAACTTTATCCTTTACATAATTTAATAATGTCTTAAATTAAATACCTAAAACATTTCTTAATTGAAAATATACTTACTTTATCTATATATTATTTTACCTCCTCTCAATGAATTTTAGGATAATAAGACTCAGTTGTATAATAAATTTATAGCATTAATAAGGTATGGATATCGAAGTTTAATATCGAAGGATTTTCACTAAGAAAAAGTATAAAAAGTTTACTTGTAAGTTAAAACAAAAGAGCTTTAAATTCTTGATGATATAGTAAGCTCAAGAGGAACTGCTCTAGGTAGTGTCAAACCAGATCCTTCACTCATGTCAAGTTCCTTGCCGCTAGGGTTCTTCCACTCAAAGCCATGCACAAGGTTGGCCAGGACGAAATGCACCACTCGCAAACCAAGCTGGATTCCGGGGCACCCTCTTCTTCCAGATCCAAAAGGGAGCATCTCAAAGTCGCGCACGCCAACAATGTCGATGTTTCTCTCCACAAACCGCTCCGGCTTGAACTTGAGAGGCTCCTCCCAGCAGCGCTCATCCCTGGCGATCTCATAGTTATTGATGAAGACCCGTGTTCCCTCCGGAACAAAGTAGTCCATCACCTGGCATGGCTGTGCCGCCTGGAAGATGAGTATCGCAGCAGGCGGATGGAGACGAAGGGTTTCTTTCACCACTGCGTCCAGATAGACGAGTTTGTCGAGGTGGGCTTCTTCTACCTTGAGTGACGATGGCCCGACCACGCTGTGTAGCTCTTCCAGGAGCCTGGACATGATTCTGGGATTGTTGATGAGCTCCGCCATCGCCCACTCGATCGTCACTGCGCTAGTGTCTGTTCCAGCACCGATCATGTCCTGCGAATAGAGATGATAACAATAGTTTCCAATGCTAATTTAACAAGATCAGGAACTCACCAGGACGATTGCCTTCATGAAGGAATCCGACTTGGAGAAGAGCTCGTTTCGCAGCATTATGCTGATGAAATCGTCGCCAATATCCCCGCCTTTCCTGCGCTGCTCGTCGACAAGCCGCTGCATGTACTCGTCAACTTGCTTGTACAAGCGCTTGGCATGGGCCGCTTTTCTCAAGTCGAGCCACTGCAGCCATGGCATGGTGTCTCCCACGTAAAACTCTCCCGCCGCGACGAACACCTCCTTTAGCAAGTGCTTAAACCGCAGAGCTTCCTCGTTCCTCCGGTGGCCATTCCCCACAACTTTTCGCAAGATCATGCCGTAAGTAACATCCGAGATCACCTGCGTGAGGCTAACAGTGCGCGGCATTGGACCCCTCGAGGCCTCCACAAGCTTTGCCACGGCCAGAGCCATCTCCTCGGCTCTCGCGGCTTGCGAGAGCTCGATTTGCCTCAACGTCAGTAGCTCCAGAGTGCAAAGCTTCCTCACGTTTCGCCAGTACTCGCCATAGGGCGTCCATAGAATTCCATCGGCACCGAAAATCTTGGCTGGATAGATAGAACGAGCGTCGAGGGTCACAGTCTACAGACTCAATTATCACTGGACACTGACCTGGTGATAGGAAAGGCCTGGAAGAATAAGTGGAGTCGCGGACTCGGATGGCCTCTCTGGCGGCTTGGGCAGAGGAGATGACCAAGTGAGGAGAGCTCCCAAACTTGAGGAACACACAGGGGCCGTGCTCTCGAGCGATTTCCCCGAAGGCACGGTGGAGATGCTTGCCAAGAACCAGATGCAAGTGCCCGATTAATGGGAGTGCCCTTGGCGATGGCGGCAGCGAGCATCCAGCTCCTCCAGATGGTTGGCGAAGAATCCATGATTTCAGGAGGAGAGCCACGGAGAGCCCGAAGAGCACTGCAAGCGGAGCGATCCACGTCTCCATAGCTCTCGCAAATTAGCAAACTCTATTAATTGACTTTGAAGTCGCTTGGAGTCGGTCGAGTTTTTCTCTTTGTTTCTTTTTTTCTTTTTTCTTGACCAGTAAAAGGAAAAAGTTCTAGAATGAGAGCGTTTGTTTCTGAGAAAGGTCATTTAAACCCGAATAAAAATTACATAAAATCATTCTTGCGAGAGTTTTAGCTAGTGCTAGCGATGGAGCTCTAACAATCTCTCATGCATGAGAGAGAGAATGAGAGAGAGAGAGAGAGAGAGAGATTAATCTTCTAAAACTTTAGTGCTATGGAAGGAGAGAACCAATCTAGCTCTCAAAAATATTTATGCGAACTTTGCATGGATGGAGAGAGAGAGAGAGTTTAACCGAGTTTCTCTACCTAGGGCTTTTGTATTTCTCTCCCTCCTAGATCGGTCGATCAATCCATTGATCGACCCAATGGCGTCGGCGTCGTGGGCGCTGCGGCTGCGCGAGCTGAGTGAAAGGTATGGCAAGGTCGCGGTGGGCGTGCATTTCTCCGTGTCCGCCATCTCCACCGGGACCATCTACCTGGCCATCAAGAACAACGTCGATGTGGTAGCGCTCCTGGAGAAAGTGGGGCTCGTCTCCAAGAAAGCCCCCGAGGACACACCCAGCGGCGCCGCCGGAGTGGAGCGAGTCTGGAGCGAATCCGAGGAGAGCAGCGGCAGTCCCGACATGGCCCAGAAGATCGATGATCCCAGCGGCGCCGACGCCGACCCTTCTGCTCCTCCGTCCAAGGAGAAGAAGCGATCGGATGGGGCCATGGGAGCTCTGGGCCTGGCTCTTCTCTGCAACAAGGCTCTCTTCCCAGTCCGTGTTCCAATCACTGTCATGCTCACGCCGCCAGTTCATCGCCTCCTCACCCGGATCAAAGCTCGCCTGTGATCCATCCCATCCTGCTGGAAAGTAGTCCACGAATCGAGGTAGCTTGAGCTCCATTTTTTTTTTGGCTTTGCTCTCTTTGCTTCGAGTTTTCGTAGAGTCCAGTCCTTGTCCTTTACGTTCGCATATTTCCTGCTTTCTTCTTCACGGGGACTCCTGAAAAGGGATGAGCTCCATTTTTTCTTCCCTCCAGCGTCCCCAGCATTGCTTGCTTTCGCTGTTCTTTACGTTCCTTCTTCACGGGGATTGCCACTGTCGGTAAAGCTTTCTTCTTCCTGCAGCGGTCCCAACTTCTAACCACTGGTCTTGCTCTGCTTCTTCTTCGCCACCACCGGTTTCTTCTCCGCCGGTTTCACCTTGACCACGGAGTCGTAGATCTTGACAGCCGCCGGGCTCCATCCCAGCACCATCTTCCGAAAGTTCGCATTGGTGTAGTAGAACACGCCCTTCCACTTGATGTCCACGTCCTGCCTCATCAATCCGCTGAGCAAAACCAGCGCCGCCACCCGGAACCGCGGCCTCAACCGCTTCTCGAGGCTGTAGAGCATGTAAGTCGGCGACTTGAGCATCTTCTCCCGGGGCAGCTTGACGCAGTCGAGCAGAAACCTCATCTTGAGCTTCAGCGACTCGTCACCCACGCGCAGGATCCTCGGCTGCTTCCGAAACATCTCGTGGACTTGCGCAGTGGAGAAGCCAAACGCGCTCATCCTCTCCAGCCGCTCCGGGATGATCTCCATCTTTGTCAGCGCCGCGATGCTGAGCGCCGACTTGTAAGATCTGGCGCTCCTGCTCAGCCCCGCCGAGCGGAGAACGTCCTCTCTCGCCGGGAGCGTCGCGGCGGAGCGGAGAGATCCCGGGTACCAGGCCACCATCTGCGCCATCCTCTCGCCATCCAGGCCGTGGCGCTTGAACAGCGGCATGCACTCCTCCATGGTCACGTTGCTGCTCTTGAAGAACCACGGGTAGCGGAGAAGAATGCGCTCCAAGTTCTTCCCCACCACGGACCTCTCCGCCACGAACGCCAGCTTGATCTTCCACATCTCCAGGCTCAGCGTGGCGGCGCCTCTGGATTTCTGGAGCACCAGCCCGAAAGCTTTCCTGGACACGCCGAGGCTGCAAACCAGCCGCGTCTTCTCCTCGAGGTCCTCCACCGTGAGCAAGATCGGGCGCTTGGGGATGTCGCTCTTGCCGATCCCCAGCCGCCCCAGGCTCGCGATCCTGGCGGAGAGGCTGGCGGGGTCCTGCGCCACCACCTGGGGGACGATCCGGACGATCCGGTGGACTTGCTTCTCGTCGCCGAGCTCGCGGAGAATGGCCAGGATCTTGTCGAACTTGGCTTGATCGTAGGCGACCTTGAACAGACATGGCTGTGCTCGGAATGCGTCGCTGATGTGGCGCCGCGAGAAGCCGTTCTTCACCAGGAAGATGATCACTCCCGAGAGATTGAATGCCGTGCTGCTGCTGGACTGCCCATTCTTGTCAATCCTGTCCGTGTAGAGCGACACTAGCTTGTCTAACCCGGTCTCGGCGAGGAAGCCTGGATCGACGAGGTCGTCGCTCGAGTGTGCCGCCATTTCGGACAAGAACCCTAGAGGAGGAGCGGCTGACCTGCTAGAGCTGTGGATCTTGCTTGCTCCATCCCAGTTAGGGCACACACTGGATAGAATAAAATGCAGTACCTGAGAAAAGAGAGAGAAAAAGAGAAAAAGTCACCACCTTGAAATGAGAAGATTTTTTATTTCATCAAATTTTAATTTCAATAATTTACTGTGCATGCAACAACATCAATAATTATAAATATGTTTATAATTTGTAAATCAAGATTAATCTTATTGCATATGGTAGAATAAAAAAGAATATTCTAGAAAGTGTTTAAAAAAGTTTATAAATTATAAACATATAAAATTAATCTAAATAAATAACAACTGTTGAAAATCCTAAAAATATTCAAATATATTCTAAGTATATTCATTACCATCTTTCCTTTTACAGATTTGCTTAAGCAAGCCAAAAATTTATGTTATTGTTTAGATTTACAAATCCTTTAAAATTTCGCAAACCCTTTTAGGGCATATAATTTGGCAAGATTTGCCACAAAGGTTGGCAACTATGACGTACACGGAGGAAGAAGGGAAGCTCTCTCTGCATAGCGACGTGGTCGAGCTCTGCTCCCACGTCGGGAAAGAGTATGCTCCAGCAGTGTCTCGGACGCTAAACATAGGGCGCGCGTTGAGGGGTTTCCGTAGGAATCTCTATCACACCGCTTACCCAGAAAGGGATGGGAACCTATACGACCTTGTCATGCTGCTCTATGCTGGAAGCCTTCCCCTCGGAGTTTCCAGCGATGTCGTCCGGGAAATCTCTCAGAGTGTGCGTGCTGGTTCCCTCCAACACGCCTTGACGTGGTTGCACGAACCAGGTGGGTGGTTTTTCTTTTCAGTTCCCTCGTTTACTCTCTTGCAAAGTTTCAGCTCATCAGGCTCGCCGTGAGGTTGACGCACTGGCCAAGTCCGAGTATTTCCTAACACCAGACAAATCGGTAAGCGTGCGCCTATGTATCTTCGCACTTCTAATCGCCATTCTCGCAGACACTCGCGGAAAGAAACCCCTACGCCGCCTGCCAGGTTGAAGCCGGATGTCCCGAGGAGCTCCAGTTCCTCACACAGGAGCATGGATTCCAGGCGATCCTAGTGAATGCCCGGCCGGCCTCGGAGGTGGAGGAGTTGAGCGAGGAAGAGATCGTACTTCTCCTGCATGCTCTACACGCAGAGAACTCTCCGTTGGCGAAGCTCATGCGGCCACTTCCTTTCCTGACGCATCAGGAGAATGTGGCTGTCGCACTGCAACACGCGCGGCTCTTCCTGCTCGGGGCTCTGCTTCCGGTTGCCTTTGCCATAGACATCACCTGTGAGTGTGGCAACACACTATTTCCTAGCTCTCAAGTGCTCCCATCTCTTACTTCCTTCGTTTTTGCTACAGATGCCGATCTGAGGCACTTGCTTGGCCCCTGCAACTCGTTTCCTTGTTGTCAAGCCAGCAAGTACCAGTTCATGGTAATTGGTGTTTCATTTCTTGCCTCGTTTAACATAACTCTTTTCAGCCAGCGGCAGACGAGGACGTGATCGCTAAATGGCGTTGCTGGAAAAGGCCGCTATTCCGCTGGTATGCACTCATTGTAGTTCTTGCTTTTTCCTTGGATCATGAAAATCTGCTCGGTATGCTGCAGGCTTGACAATCCTGATCGTCTACCATCAGGTATGGAGACAAACCTGAGATTGACAACGATAAGTAGCCATCTGCTGGCGAAGAAGGAACCGAGCATGGTTGTCCACCATGAGACGACTACCGGGTGTCCAGTGGAAGCACCATTGTTTGTGCGGCAGCTACTACGCCTGCGGTCACCACACTGCTTTGATCCGACGAGAGAGGAGCCCCGTGACTGGAGAGAATGGAACAGTATCCTGGTTCACAACCAGGAAGAGGAAGAGGAGGGCCACGGTGATGCACTTGACCAGGCCACGTATGCCGAGTGGGAGTTTGGAGAGTCCGAGGAGATGTTTGCGTTGCTTACAAGGCTCTAAAGAAGTTCTCTCCATCTCTCTCCACAAACTGCGTCTGGACCCTGTGTAGTTGCTCTTAGCGAGAAAAAAACAAAAAGTGGAACAACATGAAAGGAATGACCTGGTGGTGTTTGGGGTGGGGGACGAGCGCTGCGACCTGCAAAATGAGAATTGTTTGACGATTTTTCCAAGTTGGCCAGAGTTACCTGATCTTATTATCATCATTAGAGCTGGACAGCCTATCTCCTATGGTAGTTCATGGCTCGTCCTGCAAAACTTATCTTAGAACAAATCCACCACAAACAGTAATTCTCAAACCTGTGTTTTTTGAAAATTGCATGTTTCTCCATGCGCAGAACTGTAAAAACAAAAATAGAAAAACAAGAAAACACTCACAGAGAAGTATTAGAACCGATGGCGTCGAGGAACGCCATTTTGCCACGATCGCGCTGGTTCGCGATCATGGACTTCCTAACCTAAGACATGGATGCATCATACATACAAGCTCCGGAAGCAATGCAAACTTACAAGAAATTGATACGCTTACCGAATACAGCGGCTGTTCAAGGCACTGTATGTTTCCCTTGCCTTCGTTCGAACCGCTGCTTTCGCTGTGTCGGGATTGCCAAAGACTTGCCAGAACCTGAGTGTTTCGTCTCCAGCGGCAGAAGCAACTGTGTAGCCATCAGGACTCTGCAACGAACACAGCGTGGTTAGATACCAGCTGACATGGAAACCAAGCAAGAACATCTACCTGCGCCAAGTGCAAGACTCTGGACGTGTGACCGGTAAGTTCCGCCATCTTCACCATAGACGGGTACTTCCACAAGATCAACTGGTTCTGGCTGAATCCATGCGAACTTAGCAGCTCTCTCTCATGCTTGCTCCACTGCAACGCGCACACCTGAGAGCCCGTGTCGACGCTTTGGATGCAAGCTCCAGTGTGCGTGTTCCAGAATTTGATGCATCGGTCTGCCGTGCCACCCCCGGAGGCCAAGAGATTGCTCTGGAAAGGACACCAGGCAAGGGCTTTGACAGCCGCTTGATGCTCGTCCAGACGATGCAGATACGAGCTTGTACCACCGGAAACAGCAGCGGCAGCATCCCAGATGTGAAGAAGGTTGTCATTACCACCGCTAGCCAGCTGCTGTCCAGAAGGCGACCACTTCAAGCCGCAAACTTCCTGCTGGTGTGCTACCATCTTGCCAGTTACGTGCTCACGGATGCGAACGTCATGGTTGAAGATAACGTTGTCACGACCCCCGGTACTGAGAATCGGACCATTCCAGGCCAGGCTTCCAACTCGAGCAGAGTGGGCCTTGAGAGATCGCACCTGTGCGGCACCGCAAGCATTTTTAGTTCCTGAGATCCAAGACACAATCCTACACTCCACTGTACCTGGCGAAGAGACAATGAATCCCAGAGCTGCACGTCCGCATTGCTAAGGCCCACAGAGATATGCTTGCCGTCGGGCGCCCAAGCAACGCTAGTCACGGGACCGTCCTCCTCGTTTGCTTGCATGAGCTCTTCGATGTTACCCGTGCTCGCGTTCCAGAGGTAGACGGTGTGTCCGAGAGCGACCGCGACCACGTTGTTTGATCCCCAGTCGAGCAAGTTGAGGTAGTAGTCGTCTAGAATCTCGGGTGCGTCGAGAGTTCTCTCTGGAGCCTGAAAGAAGAAAACAAGTGTGAGAAGAGAAGATTTCTAAACCCAAGAACAAATGGACGGAAGAAAGAAAGAGGAGAGGAAACATACCTGGGGAATGTGTCTAAACATCTTGCGAGGCCTGGAAGCGCCCGGAGCCGTGTTCTCGCTGTACAAGAGGCTGGATTCCTTGTCAAATCCCTCGGGAGGCGGCGGAGGCCTGTTCTTGAAGGCAAGAATCCGGCTCTCCTTGTGGAGGATGTTGGCGTCTTTCAAGAGATTCTCGGCGAGCTGCTTCTTGTACTCTTCCTGGCAGCAATCGTACCTCAGATGCTGCTGCTGTTGCTGCTGCTGCTGAGAATGCGAGTTCTCCTTGCCGAGCACGAGCATATTTGCGACATCGAAATTCATGGCGCTGCGATCTGGGATGAATCGATCGCTCTGGAGCTGGAGCTTCCCCGGCGTCTTCCTCGGCGGATTGGAGATGAGGCACGGGGCTCTGCCGGGAGTAGAGCAAGTCGCCGTGCCCTGGGCTGCCATCAACACACAAAAGAAACCAAAATTTTCGAGCAAGAAGCACACAAACAAGAAGAATGCGAGCTAGAAATTTCTACTCTACTGATCTCTAGCTATGAGCGCGCTTGGACTTCGTGGAGAGAGGGCCGCGCGGTTCGCAAAATCGATCGCTTTGCTTCTCTAGAGATTTAGGGCTCTTGGTTATAACCCCGGCTCCTCTATCAACGGTCCGATTTTCCAACGGGTCTATGGATGGTTAGGGCTCCTGGCCAAAGGACACTGGGGTTTATTGGGGCTTTGGATCGATCGCGCTGGCCGCCGCTTTCTCTAGGAATGATCGAGAATGTCGCTTGAAGCAACGATAGATCGTCAATGGTGAGACTCTTTCACTCGATCGATCTAGAGGAAATGCTGAGTTTGTTGAACTAGGCTTCTCTATTGCAAGACGAATGGCGTGGATTGGCGCATTTTAGAACAGAGAGCCGCCGCAGGGTCTTCAAGAAGACGTGAGTTACTCGTCTTTTTTTCTGCTTGTATGCTCGAGCTCGAGCTTTGTTTTAATTTTGCCAACAGTCCTGAGGAGCGGACTGCTAGCGAGCTCTATGTTTTGGAAGAAGTTTTCTCGGATATCAAGCTCATCAGCAATCTCCCATTTTCTAAACGACTTGAGGTAAGCGTTTAGAAGCCATCTTCTTGGAGATTGACTGTTTTTATTTATTTTTCTTTGTCTAGATTTGTAAATTTATCCATTACGAGGATGTTCCCGAGTGCACACCTGGTAATTTGTGAATTGTGCTAGTCTCCTGCTGAGCTCTTCACCCGAGTTTTTCATTTGCAGTGTATCGCGAAGGGGACGAGGGCAACAACTTCTATGTGATTTTTACTGGCTCAGTGAAGGTAAGAGGGGAGCCCGTGGATATTGAGCCTTGTAAGTGACTTCCTTCTGGTTTTCTAGGTGACAGCTACGTTTGGAAGAAAAGAAAAGTTGCTGAATGCTCTCTATGCTGGAGACTACTTTGGAGAGGCAGCGTTTCTACACGAACATTACCGAAGGTTTGCTATGGAACTTGTTGAAGCCGTTCCTTACGTTCTTTTGTCAAGCAGGAGGGAAACGGTGTCGACGCTCAGGCGGGTATGCCTTTGTAGATTTCTTGGAAAGCTTTTGTGTTGAGGCCTTTTATTATTTGTTTCTGCAAGTGCGAGCTTTTGGTTTTGAGAAAGGCAGACTACGAGGCAGCTCTAAAGACAGACATAACTGAAGAAGTGCGAGATAACTTCAAGGCGTTGCAAGTAAGCATGAACTTTGTTTGGAGAAATTAGAAGTACAACATTCCTTCCTTTGTTTCAGAATGTAAACGTCCTGCAAAAGATTGCAAAGGGTGGCATGTATCGTCTAGCAAGCCTCTTGACGTCTCGGAGCTATCCGAAAAACAGAGGTACTTTTTATCACCTCTTATATCTGGAAGTGATAACAACAGAGTTTATATTGGATGATAACAGGCAAAACCAAATGAACACAGTTTATGGATTGATTTTTTGCAGTCATAACTTTCCAGGGCGACGAAGCTCGTGAGATGTACTTCATCAAGAGCGGAGAGTGCCGTGTAAGCTCATCCCGGGGTTTCGTTTTGGTTGTCTAATTAATAGTCTTCAGGTTGTTATGCATGTTGCGACTCCAGGCGATGCGTCTCCTCGTTCTCTTCCTCGAGCTGCCTCAAGTTTATGCCAGTACAGGTAAACCGTGGCTTTGCTACGTAGCACCCGGCGATTTGACCTTGCTTCTCAGGCCTACCACGCACGATCATTGCAAACAAAAAGTGAAGGAGCTCCAAAAACACTGGGGACATCCACATTTTATGACTCGGCCATTGTCTTGCCCGACAAGTCGAAGCCAGTCCGTTCCTCCAATTTCGTTTAGTCCACCAGTGATCTACGAGTATGAGTCGAGCAACATGGCCTCCACAAAACCAGTTGCCGTGACGGTTCAGGGAAGGCCTTCGTCAGCACCGGAGGCACGAGTTACTTTCAAAGACACCAGTACCGAGAGCAAGCTTTTGTCGGCTCCAAGGGATTTTGACGAATCCAGCAGGCGTGAAGCCACACCGGGACAGGATGTTGTAAGGCGCAGTGTCTCAGCACAGGGACACCAGCGTCAAAGTCGGCTAAAGAGCGAGAAGCAGCAAATGCATCCGAGGCAGAAGAAGGCGCTACCTTTTCTTCCAAGCACCATCAAGCAGTCATACTTGGAACAGGAACAGGAGAATGCTCAGCAAACTTCTGGCCGTTTGAAGTCCATCAGGTTCTCACGCAAATCTAGGCCGCTGTCTCAAATGTCACTGCGGTCTTATAAGTCTAGGAAGGGGAGTAAAGAAGGCCAGACCAACACGGAATACTCCTTAGAGTCACTTCTCAAGGAGATCAATCACAAGTTTAGTGATGAGTCCATCCAGGACCTGGAGTTTTCGGACAAGGAGGCCATGCTATGGGGGATGGGAACGGCAGACACTGGTTTGCTGCGTGGAGACGTGAGCGACCCTATGAATTATCAGAATAAGTTTGAGGTGTGGGTAAGAACAGTGATATCCAGAGAGAAGAAGTTGCGGGCAATCGAAGAAAACTCGGAAGATGGACTGTCGACGAGTTTTCGGTCTAGTGAGGACACTGGGACCGAGACTGAGATCGATAAACTCTTCAAGGTATGGTCATACTTTTCAAGCTTTTTATTTGGAAGATGAAGGTTTGTGTTTTGTAGACGGGAACGATATTGGATGTAGGTGGACTTCACGCTGGAGAGTACTTCGGAGAGGTATTCATAGTCGAAGTTTGTTCTTTTTGGGAAGTTTCTTACTTTGTTAAGAAATCCAGGCTGGTCTTCTAAGCAAAGCTACAAGGGCGGCCAGCATTCTTAGTGTTACAGACGTGGAGGTTTTGGTTCTCACAAACTCGGATTTTAGTCGTCGCTTGGACCAAGACATCATTGATTGTCTCTGTGCGGCCGTAAGTTTGATCTCCTTTTTCATTCCTATTGCTGGTTTCAACTTTTTTTTTTCCTCTCTTCTCAGAACTACAAGAAGGCCAGCTTTATGCTTGAACAATTCTATAAAACGCATCGGTGGGAGCTGGTTAAGGTGTGCTTAAAAGTTTTCTCTCTTCCCATGAAGTTTTTCTTTTGTTCTTGGCAGAAAAGAGTAATGAAAGATGCGCTCATGGGAAAAAAGGAAAGGTTTCCAAATCGTTTCTACCACGACATGAGCGACGCGATTCGAAGAAAGGGCATGAGAATCGAGTAGTTCTTGATTTTTTGGAAACTCAGTGGTGCTGGTCCTCCTTTAAATTTGTTTTTTTATGTTTATAAAGGTCGTTGACCGTATGGTTGACCAGGTCAATTGGCTATGAATGCATGTGGCGCGCAGGAGGACAAGCAGCCGCGATGCTCGGATGGTGGAGCTGGGATCGATGGCCCTGGAGGAGCTCGAAAGGAGCAATGTGATAAGCTGGGCGAGAGCTCCACCAAGAACAGCAGCAAGATCTGGTGGAGCTCTCTTGTGGGGTCGCGAGGAGCTCCAGCGGGCATTGGATCGAGTGGAGCAGCTGGGGGGAATCCACCACATCTCTCTCTCCGTATTTGCAGCGCTCCTCCGCCAGTGCGGGAACGTGAGAGCCTTGAAGGAAGGCCGGAGAGTTCACGCTTCACTGGCTATGGTAGCGGCGGATTCGAGCTCGACCTTCTGGGCGAATCTTCTCATCCAAATGTATGGGAAATGTGGATCCAGCGAGGATGCGCGGGATGTTTTTGACAAGCTAGGCCATCTTCGCAACTCTTACTCGTGGACCATTCTTCTCACTGCATATACCCAAACCGGGCATTTATCAGAGGCGAACTTTGTGTATGAAAGAATGCCTTGTTTTAACGTAGTTGCATGGACGATTTTAATCACTGCAAACGCCAAGCACGGTAACGTACTCGACGCAAAGAAAATCTTCGACGCCATGCACGAAAGGAATCTTGTTTCCTGGAACGCATTGCTAACCGCATATGCCCAAAAAGAATATCGCAAAGAGGCAGTGAGGATGTTCTCTAAGCTGGATCAAGAGGGAGAAAGGCCCAACGAGATTACTCTCACCAGCGTTCTCGAGGCCTGTTCGGATCCAAGCTCCATATATCTTGGAAGAACCCTCCATAGCATCGTCTCTGGAGACGAGGAGCTTAGCAAGAGCGTGGTGGTGTCCACGGCACTCGTGAACATGTACGCACAGTGCGGTCGATCGATCGAAGCCCGCAGTGTTTTCGACACGATGGCGACCAGGAACTCCGTCACTTGGACGTCAATGATCTCCGCCTATGCTCGAAACGGTCAGAGCTCGCAAGCACTGCTCATGCTCGATCTCATGGACGTGGAAGGGATCGAGGCAAGCGACGCTACTTTCGTGTGTGCCATTCACGCTTGTGCGAACTTACGAGATCTCTCCATCGCCCTCGTCGTCCACGACGCGATGAAAACCTCTGGAAGCTCACACTTGCACGACCTCAAGGTGGAAAATGCCATAGTCGACATGTATTCGAAGTGCGGCAGCCTCGATCTCACACAAGAGATGTTTGATGCCATGGGCGACAGAAATGTGATCTCCTGGAGTGCTCTCATCGCTGCCTACGCACAGAGCGATCGATCCATCTACGACGCGCACCACGCAATCCGGCTCTTCTTGCAAATGGATCTTGAAGGGATGGATCCCAACGAGGTAACGTCGGTGGCAGCATTGGATGCTTGCTCCAAGCTTGCATCGGTGGAACTCGGGAAGACCATCCATGCAAACATCATCGTCCATGATGTGGTGGTGGCAACTGCGCTCGTCAACATGTACGCTAAGTGTGGGACTCTCCACGAAGCTTGGAAAGTTTTCTCGTCGTTTCCACAGCAAGAACACGATACCATTCTTTGCAATGCAATGCTCACGGCCTTTGTCCACAATGGCTGCGAGAAGCTGGCGATTGAAACCTTTCGATCCAATCTGGAGCTCCAGGGAATCCGACCCACTTCCGTGACCTTCATTGCCGTGCTCCTGGCCTGTGCTCGAGCTGGCCTTGTGGGAGATGGATGGAGCTACTTTGTTTCGCTAAAATGTGACTATGGGATCACTCCCAGCGTGTTTCATTACGAGTGCATGTTGGATCTGCTGGGACGAGCTGGGCTTGTGTGTGATGCCGAGGAACTTACGAACAATATGCCCATGGTTCCAGACTCCACAGCATGGTTGAGTGTTTTATCGTCAGCTTGTAGGAGTGATCCAAATGTTGCAGACAGAGTTTCTCAAAATGTGGATCTCGACGATCCTGTAGCTTATGTTCTTCTGGCAAACACTTGGAGGAACACCTTAGGAAGCCTTGAGGATTGAGAAAACTTTTCATAGTTAAATGGGGCCTTTTATTCACTAGCAAAACACCAAAAAATCGGGCATAGTTTCGTTGGGTATGAAACCAACAAAAAGCTTGTAGTTAGGGGAGCTTACTACTTATGGAGAGGGGTTGCTTGTGAATTGGATCCTAAAGGTTTATTTAAATGTGTCACCTGAAACCATTCATTTGGTGGTGTCCACATTCATTCCCGAGTACTTGCCTCTCCTTGCTTCCATAAGAAAGTGCTTCTTTCTTAGCTTTTCTTAGTCCATTTCGTCCTCTCTTTTCTAGTTGTAAAACATAAGCCCACACCTATGACACTACTACCTTTGGCCCTTCATGTTTATTGTTAAAGGTTTTGTTGCACTTGGCTTTCAAAATTTCTCACAATGTACTTCCTTGCAGCAAGTCTATTAACTCCAAGGATACTCCTTTTGTGTTTGTTCATGTTATGCTGAGTTGATCAAACCATGGTGCCCCTTCTTGTGTTGCAAACCATTTCCAAGAGTCTATTTTGTTTCATATTCCAACAGTTTCTTCGCCCCACACTACTGCTTCGTGAAACACACTTGTCTTTGGGAATGCTATTGCAACAGCACAAAAACAAAGTATGTGACATTAACAGCAATGTATACTCTCACATTCCCAAAGTATGTGCCTTTGTGTCTCCTTTGCCCCATATTTATCACATGACTGATTTGGGAGATGTAAATTTTGTTTAGACGGGAGGTGGTCTTGCATGACCAACCACATAAAATATCTTGTCTTCATTGCCCATTTACCTTTCCACAAACCTTTTAATGTGGCCAATTGGATCATATCTTGTATATTGAGTCGTTTCATTCTTGTTACCAGTAATGAATCACTACTTGCCTAAATAAATCATCTTCCCAATTTTATCTTATATGCAAAGAATTCTTCCTTCTTTGTCCCCTGCCAATTTTATTCAATTTATACCAACTCATGCAATTTTTGCTGTCTAAATTAATACAACTTGGCTATAAACCCTTCTATTACTATTGGATCCATCATTGCCTACCTAAATTAGTTCTGTTTTTGACATTTATGGTTTAATGCTTTCTGTGGGAACTTTGAATGGTAGCAACTGGCCAGCTGGACAAATGTCAAAACTAACAGATTTAAATTGATCTTGAGTTGCCATATATATCATATTGGTAACATTTCTCTAACTTCCCCACTACTGTTTTTACAGTACTTATGTGCACCCATGTATCCAAGTAGGTAGTGCCACCCACACTTGGATTGCGAGCATTGACCATTCAATCTCCTGAGGGAACTAAAGCCGGCTCTTGAACACTTTACCAAGCTACCCTGCTTGTCAATCGTATTCACTCTAGCCTTAGACTTCCCAATGGTTATCTCATCACCCAACACCTGGGTACAACCTTCCTGACCAAATTGGCCTTTCTTGGTTAAATTGGCTCCATTGGGGTCCAACCCCTATACTCTCCTTACTATACTTTTGGAACCCCTTGCAACACCCCCCCCTGGAGGATGATCGCTTTGGGCTTTCACCCAATAGCATTAGTATTTAGACTCACACTCACACTCAGTCTCAGTCTTGGGTCTCAGACTCGATCTCAGTCTTGGTCTTGGTCTTGGTCTCAGTTCCATCTTGGACTCCATCTTGGGTCCATCTCCATCTCTGTAGCGCACCTTATCTCTCTCCCCTTAAGCCAATTGAAAAAGGGGCAATTGCTTGATGAGAGAGCCCTTAGTGGCTATTTTATCCCCATTTATCTCCCAAGGTTCCAAAGATCCATGGTGACAGTATATCCAAATCTCATCCCATGATCACATGCGCTACACTCACCCCCCCTTTAGAGATGTCAATGTCCTCATTGACTATTGACTAACAACCCCTACTGAGCCAAGGGGAACCAA